GAAGCTTGGCCCAGTGGGAGATTCTTCCCTCCACAGTTTAGTGTAGATGTAGGAATCTGTTGCACTTTTTCCATCTGGCAATAGAAAATCTGCAGAAAATCTATAGGTGCATGGTTAGCTTAAGCATCATTAACCTGAGCCTCTTTGCTTGTAATAGTTCTTGCTACACAAGCCGTGCGCTTTTTCCGCATGTCCAGTTTTGCAAGCTGCCTGCCCTGACCTCAGTGTCTGGATTGCCCTTTGCTCGCCACCAGCCCTTGACCTCATCCCTGGATAATGCTCTGATTGTTTCTTTCGTCTTTAGTCCGTATCTCTGCTTAGTACTTAGGGCTGGCTTGTGGCATCACTCGGTCAGAGCATGTAGTGTAAGTACCAGTAAGCGCACTTGCCTTATGGGAACATCGGCTGCTATAGGTAAAACAACTTGTCACTATTTGCTCTGACTGTGTGCATCCGCAGCCGGTCCTGACAAGAACCCCTGGCAGCTCTTATTAGACAAACTCCTGATATTACTGGGTTTTGTTATGAAGGAGAAGACTATGTTATATGCTGGTGATATGTTGCTTTTTCTTGGTAACACTATTATCTTCTCAACTAGTTCTATGCGACTTATCAGTCATTTTGATTGTTTTTCTGGCCTTAAAATTATTTAGGACCGATCCTCAGTGCTCCTGTTGGACCAGGCACCATAGAGAGATGTTGCCTCCTCTTGCCCTCTTAAAGTGGCAGACCCATTTTTATTATCTGGGTATAAAAAAAATTCTTGCTTTATTAAAGACTATGAGCTTTTGAACCTTGTTTAGGGCTAAGGTTAAAACTTGGTCCAAGCTCCTTCTCTCAGATATGTGCAGGCCACAACTTATGAAAATGGTCCTTATGTCCTAACTTCTCTATTTGTTACATAATGCCCCCATTACCTTCCCAGTTGAACTGTTTGGTTTTATTGACACTTTAATATGTGAATTATTATGGAACAAGAAACAATTGAAGATTAGGCTGGAACATCTTCAGAATTTGAAAACTGAACCCAACCCTAGGCTATGCTATTTGTCAGCCAAGGACCACCATTTAGTGTCTTGGAGGGACCCCCCTGCTGACTAGCCCAATGTAGCCCCTCCTCTGATTTCCAGTATATGACTCTCCAGACACACACGACTTTCTCCAACCTCATGACACTGTCTCTACCTTAAGCATACTATTTGGCAGAACCTTAAGCTTTTGCAAAGAGCATTGGGTCACACTTGTTACACTCCATTTTGGGGGGAACGTTTTCCTCCAGGAACTGGTTAAAGAGGAACTTTACACATATCTTTAAAATAACAACAAACATACCTTTAGAGATGTTTAGTAATGACATTCCACACACACATACTTATAGATAATTGCAGGCTTTGTATTTTTTGCATACCTTATTTGTCTTTTCTTTCCCAGTCTTCTGACAGTGGCCATGTTTACTAAGGGCAGATTATTAGCTCTCCCTTACTTTCTGGAACTCTGGAACATGTGACTAGGATATGGGAATATGCACATCATCTCAGGGCAGGAAATGCCTTTCCCTGAGATCTCATGAGATTACAGATGATGCTCTGCTGATGTAACCTTCCCAGGATGCAACACTTGGGCACATTATATAATTTGTGCCAAAACTGGAACAGGAAGTAGATAAAGTCTATTTGTAAGTAAATGAAAAACATGTTTGTTTAACTAATAAATGTAATATGATTTGAAATTAGCATGCAGAGCTGCATGCTGATGTGATTTTTAGTGAAAGGGGGTAAAGGTCCTTTAAGTTGGAAGGTTCTGTATTAAGGATAAAGAATGGAATCACTAAGGTGTCACATTTATTTACTGACAGTGTTTTTAAATCTTTTGAGCAGTTGCAACAACAATTCGCCCCCATTAGTGATTGTGTTCCGGTCCAGTGCAATCTGCAAGAATAGTGCTATCTTTGTTCAGGCATCAGCCAGGCTCAGCCACTACGTACTCAACTGAGGTGCTGGCTCAGAGATGACACAACCATGTAAATCCTGGTGCCTATGCAGGTCTTTTACTCTGTTAACAGATGTCTGATACAGATCAGCCCTCTGCTGCAGACTCTCACCTTGTGACATTGCAGAAAGTTGCAATGTACAGTCGGATCACTTGGGGAAAGGAGACAAAGGAAATGCTTCCTCCAGCCTGCAGCAGCCTGATGATATTATCTCTGCCTAGGCAAAGTCGCTCGATTAAAGCTTAAGAACAGTTTTATAACAAAATAGGCAGCAAAGCAATGCTTCACTATGCCTCCAACTATTTTGCCAACATGCAGGGACATATCCACCGTAAGGCATTTGCCTTAGGCAGCACTTTTCAGGGAGGCAGTAACAAATGCCACTTCCCAATCAGTGAGGTCAGACAGAATCAGGCAAATTAGGCGACCGCTGGTGGGGCCTAGCGGTCACTTAATTTGCCTGAGTGAGCTGCCCATTGGAGGAAGAGGCGGGGGCGGGGCCCAGTGAGAGGCGGTGCGACCGGCGGAGGTGGAGGAGAAGCAGTGGGTGGCTCGGGGCTGGCCGTACCCCAAGATCTGATGGAGGTATGTCCCAGAGGTAGACTGGGGAGCTGCAGGTAAGAGGAGCAGCACATGTGTGCAGGGAAAGGGAACCTACAGAGCCCACCATAGATCATGCACAGCCCACCTGAGAGCTTCAATTGGGCTGTGCAGGATCTACAGTGGGCTGTGGGGGGCTGTGCAGGATCTTTGGTGGGCTATGCAGGGTCTGTGTTGGTCCATGGGGGGTCTCAGGTGGGCTGTGCAAGATATATGGTGGGCTGTGCGGGGTCTGTGGTGGACTATATGGGGTCTCAGATTGGCTGTGCAGGATCTATGGTGGCCTGTGCGGGATCTATTGTGGCCTGTGTGGGGTCTATGGTGAGGCCTTGCAGGATTTCAGGTTGGCTGTGCAGGATCTATGGTAAGATGTGCGGGGTCTGTGGTGGGTTCTGCAGGGTTTCAGGTTGACTGTGTGGGATCTGTGGTGGGCTATGTGGAGGGGATGAGACCCTGCACAGCCCACCTAAGACCCCAAAGAGCCCACCACAGACCCCGCAGAGCCGACCGCAGACCACACATGGCCCACCATAGATCCTGCACAGCCCACTAAAGATCCTGCACAACCCACCTGAGACCTCGGCTTTCCTGCTATGCTAATAGCACAACCTGTCAGAAGCTGGATACAGCGTGCGCGCTGTATCCAGAGACTGACAGGTCACGCAAAATGTCTTAAACAGGAAGGGGTGGGGCAAATTTAGATTAGAGGGAGATACCCGAGTTTAGTCTTGCCTAGCGCATCACAAAACTTAAATACACTACTGCCAACATGTGCAACCTTTATCAAATACTTTACCGGCATAGACAGGGATGTCTTTATATACTGAGATCATGGATCTCTAGGCAAAACATTTGCTTTACTCTGTCTTTTCTAATGTTGTGAAACATGAATGGAACGAAGAAGATTGACAAAGAAATATATCTAGGTGCACATGCAGGAAACCATGAAGCTATGAAGCTATCCAGCAGTTGAAGGTTCATCGTAACGAAAGACGATGACAGAAGAGTGCACGTTCTGATTGGGCAAACATGCATGTTTGTGCTTATGGTGAAATGGGAGGGACCAATTAGCAGCCTGGTAGGGGCAAGGATTGAGTGTCTACCATGGTCAGAGAGGGCATGTAGGCACAAGTCTTCCCTTCAAATTGTTGATTCATCAAAACTTCTCAGCTCCTCCAAAAGTGAGTTTAGGTTCCCCAAACCATTTGCTGTCCCTAACTAAAATTTTAGAGTAAAAGTCTTAAGAGACCTAAATATTACCAAATAGTTAGATCGGGCTCACTTCAGGTCCAATTGACCTGCTACTTCTCTGACACATTTGGCTCTTGATTACAGTTTTGGGCAGGTTATATGTAAGGCAGGGACACTGATTGCAGGAGGCCAATCAGTGCCTTGACCTAAACAGAACTTGCTTTGAATCGGTTGAGAATTGTAAATGTCAGAAAAGCAACAGACCAGTTGAATATGTAGTGAGCTTATTTAATGGGTAAGAATTTCAGGGCTCTTACTCTAAAGTTTTATCAGACATCAGAAAAGGAGAATGAGCACATAACATAAGAGGCTCTAGACAAATTGCAGAAATATACATGTGTTGTGAAATTTGATAACAAATGTCTAATATTTTTCATAATAAACAGTGATAGGCAATGCCAGCTGGCTTTACAACTCTACCATTGAATGGCTTTTATTCCAACAATAAAACAATAAAAATAGACTTTTGTGCAAACTTTTATCTTTAGAAAATAGATAACCACCATACCCTAATTAAATCTATGTTTAAACATGCACGCTGTTTACATTATGCACACATTCGATAGAAGTGACACATTAAATTAGAAGGACTGAAGCCTATAACTTCATTATCTACACAATTAGGTCACTTGATTTTCTGCAATGGTTTTCACAAATACACAAAATTTTGAAAATTTACCCAAAGAGTAAAAAGTTATTAGAACTAAAAAAAACTCAAAATATATAACATACAAAAATGCCTCCTTTAGATTACAATTTCTTTTTAAATACAGTAACACAAACTATTTAAGACAGAGTCCAGTTTTGGGTTCAATTTAAGTATTTTTCTCTTTTTAGATATTTATAAAATTAGGCCAGCAGTTCTTTCAGAAAGCAGAAAAAACTGTTCATATTGGTCCACAGCAACCAGTTATGTTATGCCTATTACTCTCCCTGTGCAATGTGAGAAAATGGATGAGAGAATCTGATTAGCTGCTACGGGCGGCAAGAAGAGTTGTTGATAAATAAGATATGTCATCCATTCTGCTGCAATAGTTGGCACCGAAAACTTTGCACTTTTTACACTAGTTCCTTCTAGAGTAGGGGTTTGTTAGATCACTGCATAGAATGAATATTTGGCTTCCTCTTAAGTCCCAACTTGTTTGAAGGCCGGAAGAATTTATGGAAGATATTCTTCTTTGATAGTCAGTGTGCTTGGTGATACCATGTTACTATTGCTGCTGGTACAATGGGGGCCCATGCCAACAGTGGAGCCTACAGAAGGGGGTGTTGGTGTTGTGGTGCTGGCCTGTTGGCTCTGCTGCTGCATTTTCTTCTTGTTCACTTTCCTTTCTTTTGCCCTTCGATTTTGGAACCAGATTTTCACCTGTGCAAAAAAAAAATACAAACAGATTATAAAAATCTGTGTAGGACCTCTTTTCGTAGCTTGGTTGACTTGTAATAATACAACAGCATATTGTATTACCTAGCCCCCCCCCCCAATAAAAAATGTTAACTAAAAACATTAAGTGGATTAAACATTAGGGGGGGAAAAAGAAAAAGTACTTACCTTATATGGGAATACTCACAAAGGTGGTGGTGATGTCACTCAGGTGTTCTCGCTAGATCCTGGGAAAGACTAGGATCTTTAACCTTGCGAGAAGACACCCCAGCAACTCAGAGGCTTCTCACTAGATTTCAGCTCTGTGTTCCCAGAATTCCAGGAGAAATTCTAGTGTCTAGGCGAGCTTGCCTCTATTTTTTTTTTATGCTTTTAATTTGCATTTGTTATTTGGGGGATAGGGGCTAGGCAATAAGCTGGCCTGGCATTCTCATGCAAGGCTCACTTTAAAGTATTTCTAAAACCAAAACATTTTTTTAGTTAGTAAATAGTTAGAGCCACACAGCAAGCTAAGTCAAAACTTCTGATTTCCATATTTGTTCTGGGTTAGGTATTTAAAAAGTATTTAAGCCGGTGGTTTAGCATGGAAGCTTGGGAACTAGTATTTGTGAAAGAAGCATCTCATCAATTGCAGTCTATACATTCTCCAGATACATGTTTCCTTTAAAGGATAACTAAACCCAAGAACAAAATTGTAATATATTGCAGCTTGTTTGTCCTTAGATGTGGTGGCGGCATTATGTTTATGTTTTTCGGGCTAGGAGCATTTTAGGTAAGTACACCAGTTGATCTTGCAAGAAATGCAATGTCCTTGCTTCCTGTGAACTGAAAGCAAAAATAATTCTAACTTTCTTCTGTAAACTACTAATCTCCCCATCCCTATGTAATGGAGATGAACAAAGGCAGACATATTTGTATGCTGCCCTTGCACAATGGACGGGGATCCAAAACATCCACGTGTGTCAAGTGTGGGATTTGTCTTTGCTGACTATAACTCTGCTTTTTCTGCTGACTATTGATCTGCGGTTTAGTGGGCAATAGTAATTGCAGTATATATAAAGGTCTATTACCTTAACCTATACAAAGACACCACTAGTTCAGGTGCACACTTCAATAAATATAACAGAATGTGGGGAGAGGCAGGAAACAGTAAAAAAAAGTATAATTTCAATAAACCTTTCCTGTGTATTCCTTTTATAGATTTTGGATACGGATATACGGTATAATGAAACATAGAATGTTTATGGCCAATTTACATGCTCTGGGGCGCCATTTTAAGTTTTGTGTTTTAACTGCATGCCGTCCACCCACTGTAAATACACGGGCGGACGGCGGAAGCTTCCCCGAAGGGGAGACGTGCCTGTACGTAATTTTTTTTCTGCTTAGCGCGCATGTAAGCAGAATCCCGCCGGGCATGTAAACAGCTGGTACCGGCTGTTACATACAAGCGTTTTGGCCGGCTCTACAGTCCCCCACCGCTGATCTCTCCTCCTCTCTCTCTAAAGGCAGAAGCGATGTGTATTAAATCACATCCGCCTTCAGCTGTCATTTCTCTGACTGCTATAGCCAGAGAAGAAGCTGGTAAAACAGATCTCTGCTTCATCAGCTTCTTTGGTGGTCCCATGGTTAAAGAGACCCCTGATGTCTCCATAAAGAGGACCTGTCACCTGCTTGTTAGCCCCCCTGGGTGATAGCAATGAAGTTAAGTGTAAGAAATACAAATACATGAAAGCCACATATTAAAAAATAATAAAAAAACACCCAAAAAGGTTTTAAGTCCTCCGCCCCGTGTGCACGCACATATAAACGGAAATACTCATCGGGTACGTCTACGTGCGAAAACAACGATTATGCCACACACTAAATATAAAAAACAAAAATAAAAACCCCAGCGGTGATTAAATACCACCAAAAGAAAGCTCTACCTATCCCCAAAAAATGGTATAAAATTCACACCAGTACAGCATTACATTGCTGAATCAAAGTACAGCAGCGCTACATACTGAAAAATGACCTGGCAGGAAGGGGGTTTAACACCCTGGTCAGCAAGTGGTTAATAACCACACTCCAATGAGGGTTTTTTTTATCAGTATCAAGTACTAAAATATGAGTAAAATATATGGAACTGCAACACAACAGTGTTGGTCATTCCATCATGGACACATCCCTTGAAGCAGTTACCCACCCTTCCGTCACTCCCACCGCCAATCCATTCAGGGTTGGGAGCCAAAGGCAATACATTTGGCTCCCATCTATTTATTTTCTGGGAAAGGATCTTCACTTTTCGCCCGGGGCCCGCGCCCCTGCTGCACCCCCGGTTGTTACGCCACTGACGGGAGGTAATGGTGGTGGGGGTATGGTTGGAGTGGGTGTGGAGGACAACCAGACAGATTTACCTCTTTGAACTAGGAAACAACTCCTCCCTGATGTACTGTAGTCCTAACACACTCACTCTCCTAAGGTGACAGCGCTGCTCCACAGACACAGATACAGTATAATGAGTAAGAAGTGGTCACCCTTAACAGGATAAGCAGGTGAAAATAAAGGTAGAAAAACTAATGCAACCTAAGGACTGGTAAGCATCAATATATACATTTGTGTTCTTGGTTTTAGATACACCTTATGAAATGCCATGAATTCAAGTTCCTCAAATGATTATCCCATCAGTAAGCAGTCTGAAGTAGTACAGACCAGTTTCTGCCTCATAAAAAACCTCAGATTTCATTAAAGTAGAAATACTTTTATTGTTTTATGCGTAGGATAAATGAGTATGCAAGAGCCACAGTTCTGTCACAATTTTTTTTCACTTTCAGAAGATTACTGCAAAACTATGGGGATATATTTATGATGGTGTTGTTGCACTTGAGTATATTTTTAGATTGCTGCAAGTTTTTAAACTCTTCATATTAAATGTTTTGTTAGTTACATTTAGGCCCCATTCACGCAGCCTTATCGGGCAGCTCCGGGAACGTTAGGTGCTGCGTGTGATTAGTACCCAACCCCTGTCCTTCTCTATGGGAGTACGCGACCATACGCCCCCCTACACTCACCTGAACTGCTGGTCCGTGCGGGTGCATGTTTCCTGGCTCGGACGCAGACAGGATCCATCCTGTCAGCGTACGAGTACGCTCACCCACACGGACGTGCAAGGGCGGGTGAGCGTAGGGCAGCGTAAGGCCCCGTATTCCCATAGAGAATGACAAAGGCTGCGTACTAGTCGCACGCAGCACCTGTCCTTCCCGGGAGCTGCCCCATACGGCCGTGCACACAGCACGGAGTTGTACGTGTAGGCCAATTCCCGTATGAATGGGGCCTTGGAGGAACACTCCACTCAGAAATTAACACTGTATGTAAATTCCATCAGATGAGGCCAAAGCCCATCCACTGAATGGCTCTAAGTTTTATCTTGCCATTCATCTATTGCAGCTGAATCCCTGCTAGCTAAATCCATACAGTCACTGTCATTTTTATTTTCTGAATGGATTGAATATGGTTCTATGAGAATGCAAACCATCGTGTTCATTGGCTTGTACCTATTGGCTTATCTGGAAATGCCACCCACCCTAACCCCCTTCATAAGCCTATGCCCCCCTAGGAAGAACAGAAGGCAGGTCAACAATACATGATTGTAGAATTTGTATGCATGTGCTGTTCCTTCAGAGCCAATAATACAAGGATATAGCTGGAAACCATGAGGTAAAGTAGGAACCTTGTATCTCACCAACCCTGGAGAATGCAATATTTGCTACCCCTTTCTCCATGACCTAAGCAACCAACAAAGCAAAGACACTGCATAACTATATCGAAAGAAGAGCTATGCAGAACTGCTGCTAAATAGGTAAGAAGCCCATGATACTCGCGTGTCCTTCTTTATTGCATTCTAATGTTTAACACTTCCATTGCAGCTTTGTATGATATGTTGTTGCAGGTTGTTAAGCTCTTACTGGCAGACCAGACTGTTTATACGTGATGGATCAAATATAGCTGCCCCATATACATTAACATTTATAAGCCAAACATTATTTCTTATTTTACACTCTTTATTGTAAGATTATAATTGCCTGGCTGTCTCTGGCTTCAATACTCCGAAACACTAACCCAGAACAAGCATGAAACAATCAAAGCCAACGTGCAGTTGGACCTGCTGGTGTGCATGCTTATGTGAATTTCTTGGTGGGAATGATAGCCAGGTGCCAAGCATTTTAAGAAGTAATGGTTAGTAACGACAGCCTCTATATTTCCTTAATACAGGTTTCCTCTGAAGAAAAAAATATTTTTTTCAATATACAGTACATGTAAATGTCTTTGGCCTAGAGACCCTGTCAGGTCTCCAAAGAAATGAAAATGGCAGCTCCCTATAAGAGAAGAGGTATTATACTCACCTTTCTGGTGGCCCATGAGTCCCATTTTCCCTTTGTTCCATCAGTTTCTTTGGCATGTCAAACTTGAGTCAGAAGCCTGTGCCGCATGCCTTGGTTCTTTTCTTGGACCCCTATGTCACTGCTGTGTTCTGCTTTGATGTAGGTGTTGAAGGAAGGAACTACAGCATATACTGGGGAACATCTTCCCACCCAACCCCATCTTCTCTTACAGGCGCTGCCATTTTTATTTCTTTAGAGACCTGACAGGGTCACTTTTATTTGATTACTGTTATAAGTACGTATATCCCCAAAATATTTGAAATGACTATAGCTCCATACTGCCTGACTAGAACTGAACTATATCAATGGATTACCTGTCGTTCTGTTAGTGACAATGATGCTGCAAGTTCTGCCTTCCTGCGTATTGTGATGTAGCGACTGTAATGAAATTCCTTCTCCAGTTCAAGGCGCTGATGATCTGTGTATACAACGCGGTATTTGTCTTTTGTTCTAGTCTTTCCTAAAAGGTAAAACAGGCAGATGTCAGTCATACTAAGCCAATGGTAATCCATCTTAAATCTGGACTCCAGACAAATATAAATTACACAAATTAATGCAGTTCTGTATTCATTAATACATCATTACATGTATTTTTTAATGCAAGCAGTGTAGGTACCTCTGAGAGCAGAGTGGCAAAACGATGAGCACATCAGTCTGCTGCTTCTCCTTCACTGTCCAGTCAAAGGCTAGTGGAGGGACAGGACCTAGTGATATTAGGGTTGTGCTGTGTGGTAGGTAAAGATCAGGTAAGCTCCCTTACATGTATTTCATCTGTATATTTAGCTGCTGGCCCGAAGTTCATTTTTAACTGTAGTAGATTATAGCCTTTGTGATCAGAATCCTAATGAGGCCTTAAACAGTTTACATTTTCAAAAATAAGCAATAAACAAGCTATGTTTGTCTTTCTAGCTAAGCAGCTAAGCAAATGAATGGTGTGTTATAGCTATGTAACCAAACTCATCTGTATTGCAGCCAATATAACATTTACAGGTATATAACAGGATAAACTATATCTAAGTTTGACAACCAAGGATTGCGTTTATCTATCCACTCCTTGAGTTATATTTCATCATGATTGTATAGCACAAGTACAGAGGTACTATCCTACTAGTTTATCAATGCTTTATCATTTCAATTTGTTTTACTGTAACTGCAATTTGTTTTGCCTTTTTTAGCATATGTAACTCATGATGCCTGGTGAATATTTGTATGGCATTTTAAATAAACTCAATCTGTCACAGGAAATCTAAATGAAGTAACAACAGCTGTATGCTTCTTAGGAACCCTGTGCAGAAAAAAAAGTTCTATTCAGGGAGCCTATTTCTGCTGCTCTATGTAATGCTGTCATGACAATATGACCCATTTCTTGGACTTTAACACATGAACCACTCTCTGACAGCAACAGGCTCTAATGTATCCCATTCACTGGCAAAAGCCCTGTTCATATACCATTGGAACCAATGGGGACCTTAATCACAGTCTGGTATCTCTACGAGTACCGATATTTTTTTTCTGTACTCAACGATACCGGAAGTCCCATTTAGGAAGCTGGGCGGCGTGTAATGACTCGCCCGCCTGGCTTCCCGGTTAGCCGGGAAGCTAGGTGGTGTGTAATGACTCGCTCCCCGGCTTCCTGATTAGCTAGGATGCCGGTTCCACGCTCCCTCGCCACCAGGTGAAGAGGAGGCATGAAGCCAGCTTTCTGGCCAATCAGGAGGTTGGGGGGTGGGTAATGACCCGCCGCCTGGCTTCCTGATTGGCCAGCTTTCCAGCCAACCAGGAAGCAAGGCGGCAAGTCATTACACAGAACCCCCAGCTTCCTGATTGACCGGAAGCCGGCTACATGCTTCCTCATCTCCACGTTGATGAGGGAGCATGGAGCCGGCTTTCTGGCCATTCAGGAAGCCCGGGGTCGATTATTGACTCACCGCCCCGACCAATCAGGAAGCTGGACGGCGAGTCATTACACTCCGCCCGGCTTCCTGATTGGCCGGGAAGCCAGCTCCATGCTTCCTCATCACCAAGTTAGGATAGAACATGGATCCAGCTTCCCAACCAATCATGAAGCCGGGGAGCGAGTCATTACCCGCCTCCACGCTTCCTGATTGGCAGGGAAGCCAGCTCCATGCTCCCTGGTGACGAGGGAGCATAGAGCCAGCTTCTCAGCCGATCAGGAAGCTGGGCAGCGTGTATTTACTTGCCACCTGGCTTCCTGATACCATAAGTTCCGGTATCAGGATATGCATTGGGAGCATTTACTCGCCCAAATACTCGGTTTCGGCACCGATACCGGTATCGGTGTCAGTGCATCCCTAGTTCCCTCATTCCTTTTCTACATGTTCAGTCTCCACAAGCATTGCCACGATTGGCCCTTTTTTCTTAGTGCCTCTTTCCAGCACGTTCAGTATGTTCTGACACAAAGGAACTTAAAATATAATGCTCTTAGCACCCTAACTCACATACACAGGCTTCTTTGTCACAAATAAGTTAAAGGCCTGCACCAGCCAAAATGTTAGAAAGGTTGGAAGGCCTGAGGTTTTAATTGCATTTTTGTCCCTGTTGGGTAGATTTTTTCCCACTTTCTTTACCATTGAAACATTATCAAACCCTGATATTTAGGTTGTCACTGCTACAAGAAGTGAGGGGGAAAGCTACCAAGTGAGAGAACAGACATTAATAACCTGACCGGCATTTTAACTCCCATAAGACTCTAAAAACAGTATTTGTGTACTTACCTTAAAATCCGTTTCTTGAAGTTCACTAAGTGATACAGGGTCAGTAGTAATTCTGAGACAGTTGGGTTATACCGACACCATTAGAAAAAAAAATTGACTCTGGCAAACAATAAAAAAAAAATTGGCTAACCAGGTATAACCCTTCCCACTCTCAGCATGCTTTAGTTTTGTAAAGAAAAAAAAAAAAGCAGTACATAGGAGTAGATATATAAACACAAAGGGGGTTTCCCTTAACATCAAGAAACAATTTTAGAGTAAGTGTAAAAATTCAGTTTTCTTTATTATTCATTAAGGGACACATGATCAGTAGTAATTCCGAGACAATTGGATGTCCAAAAGCAGTCCAACTGAGGGATGGACAACACGGTAAACCCTAATAGGCCCACAAAAACAACAACAATAAGCTGAGGGCTGCTTCCTGAGCTGCCTGATGGATCTTACGCCTGAAGCTGGAAAGAGAAGAGATCTGAATATCACACCTAGGAGTTTTTCAGCAGTTGGAAAAGCGCTTTTAAATGCCCAACACAAGAAATCCCATTATTTTCAATTGCCCTTGTTTACACCTGAGCAGGAAAACACCAAACGCCTGAAAAAGTCCATGAGCTTCTTTAGACAGTTAAAAGTGTGTTTTTGCCCCATAGACTTCAATGGAAACGCCTGAAAATGCGCGGCAGAAGCATTTTGCACATTTTTGTGCGCAATTTTGCACATTTAAATGCACGTTCGTTAATTGCCCTCAATGTTTTATAAGTCCATGTTCACACCTGGGCGTTTTCATGCTCAAAGCTAAGCGCGACACAACTCTCAACATGAGAAATCCCATTCATTTCTATGCCCCCTGTTCACACCTGAGAGTTTTGTTGCAAGCTGTAAAACCCCAAACGCTGGAAAAGGTACATGAGCTTCTTTTGGGCAGAAAAGCATATTGCCTGATAATGGGACCCTGAATAGTCTTGAAACGTCACTTTATTTTATGATATTATGATCAACAAATGTCAATATAGGTGTTCTTGATTATGAAGATGATGGTGTGCTGGTGACTCATTTTCCACTGGACACCTTGTAGAATAATTAAACACTGAGGCATTCTCAATAGGGACAGTCAGTGTTTTGTTGAGCTCTGGAAAGGACCATAAGCAGAGCTAGTAAATCAAAGGTACATACCTTCCTGCCTTCATTTCTTGCATAAGCTCACTCACAAGGAAGTAATCAGAAACAGGGCATAACAAGGGTAATGCCACAACTCTGCACCTGGAAAGCACTTGCAACTAACTAATAAGAAAGTGGGAAAGTGGCACAAGCAGAGCCCAGTGCTCTAAGGTTGTATTCCAGGCAGGCCCCACATCTGTGGTTTGGCAGCGTAAAGCCTGCAAGGCTTTGCCATGGCTTAGCTGATCAAGACAGATGCATAAAGAGCCCTCTCTCAACAGCAAAAATATGAAATGCCAATTGAAGCAAAAATATATTCAGGAAAAAGTGGTATGGTAATAAGGTGGCAAGTAAAAATGGGTAAACTTTTCTCACTAGAGAAAGGGCATCCATCCTCCTAGGACACTAGCAAAAACTGAAGCTGGCTGGCCAACATTCTTTTTTGTTTGCCAGTGTCCAATTCCTCCTAAAGGTGGCAGTATAACACAATTGTCTTTTGTCCCAGTTTTACTATTGATCCCGTGACCCTTCTTCCTGACCACATCTTCTTCAGGAACAAGAGAGGGGAAGTGAGAAATGTGGGGTTAGGGTTATGTCACAATGAGGGTTAGTGTAAGGGTACAGGGATGTTTATTGTAAGAGTTGGATTTAGAATGAAATGTATGGTTAATGTGAGGGGGTTATCATTGCTGGCCCTGACACATGCTATAGGTTATAAAGCCCTATTTTTTCTAAACCATAGGCCATAGACCATAAACCATAAAGGGGGAAAGGTGGCACACTAGAAAACATACACCATGAAGCTTCTCGTACTTTATTGATAATGCCCACCTTTTGGCTACATCTACTACATGCCATTCCAAATTTTTTTTTCAAACCCTCTAAGGCAGACAGCAAGTGGCTTCATCTCTTCAAGGTGCCACTACTAATTATTTTCATATGTTGGCAACTAGGGTTGGTAACTAGCAGTTATAAAACTGATATTTGTACTTGCTGACCAGCAATGAAAGCGATATTGTTACATACTTTGGACCACTACACAATATACTAAGTTATAGGGTGGGTTAGTGTGAGTGTAGAGGTTATGTTTACACAAAGGGTTAATGTGAGGTTTGGGGCATAGAGCATATACACACTTAAGGTGCCCATGCACTTTACAACCCTCGCAAGACTTTTGTCTTGCGAGGGTTGTAAAGTACTTAAAAAAACATACAATCTGCCCATCTTGGACAGGCAGATCATACTTGCAATCATTGCAAGCCCGCCCCCCTGAGGGGGCTTGCGATGACTGCAATGAGGGGCAGGCTTCCGATGACTGCAAATGGGCAGTGCGCGCGTGCGCACACCTGCCCGTTCTGCAGTTGTCGAACAAGCAGGCCATTAACTCGCCGAGAATCATACGATTCCCGGCGGGTTTTCCAGCCTGCTTATTTGACGGAAGACGTGCGACCGTACAGTAGAAACGGTTGCACGCCTTCCACAGGGTATGCCAGGTGTGCCTGGGCACAGCCTAATCACTCCGATCGCAACAATAAAACCGCAACAGCATGCACCGTGTTTTTAGTGACTGAGCAGG